AGGTTGGATAGATGTTTTAGAGGTCAGATAGATGTTGGATAGATGCTTTAGAGGTCAGATAGAGGTTTGGTAGATGCTTTAGAGGTCAGATATAGGTTGTGTAGATGCTTTAGAGGTCAGATATAGGTTGGGTAGATGCTTTAGAGGTTAGATATAGGTTGGGTAGATGCTTTAGAGTTCAGATAGAGGTTGGGTAGATGCTTTAGAGGTCAGATATAGGTTGGGTAGATGCTTTAGAGGTCAGATATAGGTTGGGTAGATGCTTTAGAGGTCAGATAGAGGTTGGGTAGATGCTTTAGAGGTCAGATAGAGGTTGGGTAGATGCTTTTGGGGTTAGTTAGAGGTTGTAAAGATGCTTTAGAGGTCAGATAGAGGTTGGAATGTTAGAGGTCATAATAAGATTAAATCATGGCTAGATAGATTGAGATCAGATTCTAGTCAGGTTAATGTCAAAATCCAGATAAATTGAGATCAGATTCTAGATAGATTGAGGGAAGATTCTTGATAGATTGAGGTTAGTTCTAGATAGATTGAGGTCAGATTTTAGATAGATTGAGGTCAGATCCTAAATAGATTGAGGTTAGTTCTAGATAGATTGAGGTTAGATTTTAGGTAGATTGAGGTCAGATTCAAGACAGATTGAGGTCAGATTGAGATTACATAGAGGTTATTTATTCCTTATTCTGAAACATGAAGAAGTTAAAGAGACCGTTCACTTGTTTGGGTAATTTCAGGGTAAACTAAACAGCCTATTCGCTGTTAATTGGTAATAGTCTTACTTTTCTCTCTCTATACACACTATTCTGAACAAAAAATCGGCTTTTTCTCCGGCCAAAGTTATCTTTCTATGCCAGAAAAAGGTCAGATATAGAGAAAACAAAAATAAAATCAAATTTTCTTTTACAGAAATTACAAAAGCTTTATTGCTCATTTAACGAACATTGAAACGTGTACAGTGTACACTTCCGTTGAACTGCAAACAGTAGTCTACAAGTAAACGTACAATCCCGAGCTGGTGGAGAAATAAATAAACAATATAATTGGTTGAATACTAGAGTTTACTCACACAATCACTCCAAACAGAGCACACACACTCTAGGAGTGTTGAGTGTAAACAAAGTCCTGAAATGTTCTGATATTAAGAAATTGGTTTAGATTGAGTGTTTACATAAATACTATTCACGCTGAACCAAGAACAGTTTTTTACTTACGAACGCAATTATAATAGAAAAATATGTTTACGAATTAGAGCACAGAATATAGGATCGAGTATATTTTCTGGTGGCTTTAAAAAATAATATGATACAACTTACATTCTATTTTTAACCAATTAAAGCACAGAACAAAGTACGAGATTTACCAGCGGTTTTAAAAATCATAAATACAACTTTCAATCTAAATGGTTTATCAAACATACACAATACTCACAACAACGCACACACACACACACATTGGCCTGGATTTCTAAGAACACCCAAGTCTTTCTATCTATCTATCTCTACATTTATCTATCTATCTACCCTCTAGACCTATCTGATTAGAAATGTATGAAATGAAATCTATGAATTTGTTATTGAAGGATAGTTTGAAAGGAAGATAGAAGATAAATAGTTTAATGTTTACTAGGTTAAATGGTACAGATATTGTTGCTGGAATAATGATTGATAGAAACTTAGATGCTAGAACATCTTAGCGCCTTTTTCTGCATTTTTATTAACAAAAAGAACATCACGTCTAATATCTAGGTGTTTTATGAATCAATGATTTTAAATAAATTGTGACAATTAACTCAATTAGAAAATAATATTCTAAAAAAAATCCACCTGAGGTCGAACATTTTGTATTGTTAATCCATTTAGATTTTGTATTGGTAATCCATTTAGATTTTGTATTGGTAATCCATTTAGAAGGCTATTATCCGCATCATTTAATCAGAGCAACTAAAACTATGTATGCATTCATTTAGATTTAGTTAATCACTTTAAATCATAAGTTTCCATTTTGAATATTTGATTTGCAGGCACATATATATTGCAGTTTAGCGCTATCTCATTAAATAGTTACAAGCTCTGATGAAACTTATGAATAAATTATGAAATATGACGAAAGATGGAAAAATGAATGAATAAAAGGATTAAAGGATATTGGATAGATATATAGATATATCGATAGATAGGAGATGAATGTGTTATTCCAAATGATTAAACCACATTTACCCCACAGCAATCCTAGATAGACAGATAGATGGATAGATAGATGGATAGACAGATGAAATAGATAGACAGATGGATAGACAGATGGAAAGATAGATTGATAGATAGTGGGATAGATAGATGAAATAGACGTTCAGATAGATAGATGGATGGTTAGATAGAAGGATAGATGGATGAAAAGTATAGATAATTAATCAATAGACAGAAAAATGAAGTTAGATTCTTGATTAAAAATAAAAAAAGAAAAAACAGAACCCTTTCTGACAGTAAAAATCTGAGTCAATTTTGTAGTGTTTCATTCCCTTTTGGATATTCGTTTTGCATTATTATCTCACTTAAACTTGTAGTCATAAACCTATCAGATGTAAACTCAAGGTACATTGTTTCTAGCAAGCTTTGTAGCTAAAAATGATGATTAATATGGTAAAAAAAATGATTAAGATGGTAAAAATGATGATTAAGATGGTAAAAATGATGATTAATATGGTAAAAATGATGATTAAGATGGTAAAAATAATGATTAAGATGGTAAAAATGATGATTAAGATGGTAAAAATGATGATTAAGATGGTAAAAATGATGATTAAGATGGAAACAATGATGATTAAGATGGTAAAAATAAAATAATTATAATCATGATGATAATAATTATAATTCTGTTTCTTTTTTCCTTTTTAAAGAGCATTTGATGTTCTGTTAAATTATTCATTTTAATATTAAATTATTATCCAAAAATATTTATATTCATCTATCTATCTATCAATCTAAATAACTATCAATAAATCTATCTATCTATCTATCTATCTATCTATCTATCTATCTATCTATCTATCTATCTATCTATATATAAATCTATATATCTATCTATCTATCTATCTATCTATCTAGCTATCTATCTATCTATCTATCTATCTATCCATCTATCTATCTATCTATCTATCTATTAATCTATCTATCTATCAATCTATCTATATATCTATCTATCAATCTATCTATCTAATTATCTATCTATTTATCTCTCTATCCATAGATCTATCTATTTAACTCTATATCTGTATCTGTATATAAGTAAGGGTTGGCATGTGACTGCAGTGAATACTATTTAGTTTGATAATAGTGACATCTTGGCACTTCATAGATACATAGTCACCGTATACCAAGGATACTGGATATACAGGATATACATAGTCAACCATATACCAAGGATACTGGATAAACAGGATATACATAGTCAACCATATAGCAAGGATACTGGATATACAGGATATACATAGTCAACCATATACCAAGGATACTGGATATACAGGATATACATAGTCAACCATATACCAAGGATACTGGATATACAGGATATACATAGTCAACCATATACCAAGGATACTGGATATATAGGATATACATAGTCAACCATATACCAAGGATACTGGATATACAGGATAAATATAGTCAACCATATACCAAAGATACTGAATATACAAGATATACAGGATATACATAGTCACCATGTACCAAGGATACTGAATATACAGGATATACATAGTCCACCATATACCAAGGATACTAAATATACAGGATATTCATAGTCAACCATATACCAAGGATACTGGATAACAAGGATATTGGATTCACATGATATACAATAAACATAGTCCAACATATACCAAGGATACTGGATAACACGGATATTGGATATACATGATATACAATAAACATAGTTCACCATTTACCATGGATATTGAAAAAAGGATATACAATAAACATATTTCACTATATACCATGGATATTGAATAAAAGATATACAATAAACATAGTTCACTATATACCATGGATATTGAATAAAGGATATACAATAAACATAGTTCACTATATACCATGGATATTAAATAAAGGATATACAATAAACATAGTTCACTATATACCATGGATATTGAATAAAGGATATACAATAAACATATTTCACTATATACCATGGATATACAATAAACATAGTTCACTATATACCATGGATATTGAATAAAGGATATACAATAAAACAGGGATTGTAAAGAGAGGGTATAAAGGGAATGTGTATTGTTGTTGTTTTGCGGAAACATCTTGATTATATAATTACGAGAGCAATTGGTTCCCAGGAGACCTATCTATCTATCTATAGATATATTTATCCCTCTGTCTTTATATCTATCTATTTGGCTAACTATCTATCCTATTTATATCTCTATCTACCTATCTATCCATCAATCTATCATTCTGTTAATTTATCTATCTATCTATCTATCTATCTATCTTTCTATCTATCTAACAATCTATCCATATATCTTTTTATCTATTTATCTATCTATCTATCTGGCTAACTATCTATCCATCGATCTATCTATCTGGCTAAATATCTATATATCTATATATCTATCTATCTATCTATATAACTATATATCTATATAACTATCTATCTATATATCTATCTATTCTATCTATCTCTCTATCTAACTATCTATCTAGCTATCTATCCATCAATCTATCTTTCTATTCATTTATCTATCTATCTATCTGACTATCTATCTAACTATCTAATGGTCTCTAAGATTGATTAATCCATTTTCAGCAAATAAAGGAAATTTAAACAAAAGCTTATAACAAAGAAACCAGAAGAGATTGTAGAATACTGGAGACATAAATACTGGAGACATTAATACTGGAGACTTGAATACTGGAGACATTAATACTGGAGACTTGAATACTGGAGACATAGATACTGGAAACATTAATACTGGAGACATAGATACTGGAGACATGAATACTGGAGACATAAATACTGGAGACATGAATACTGGAGACTTGAATACTGGAGACATGAATACTGGAGACATGAATACTGGAGACTTGAATACTGGAGACATAAATACTGGAGACATTAATACTGGAGACTTGAATACTGGAGACATAAATACTGGAGACATAAATACTGGAGACATAGATACTGGAGACATGAATACTGGAGACATAAATACTGGAGATAGAAATACTGGAGACATGAATACTGGAGACAAGAATACTGGAAACATGAATACTGGGGCCATAAAAACTGGAGTTAGGAATAATTGTGACATAAATACTGGAGACATGAATAATGGAGACATAAATACTGGAGACATAAATACTGGAGACATGAATACTTGTGACATAAATATTGGAGACATGAATACTGTAGACACGAATACTGGAGACATGAATAATGGAGGCATAAATACTGTAGACATAAATACTGGAGACATGAATACTGGAGACATGAATAATGGAGACATGAATACTGGAGACATGAATACTGGAGACATGAATACTGGAGACATGAATACTGGAGACATGAATACTGGAGACATGAATACTGGAGACATGAATACCGGAGACATGATTACTGGAGATATTCCTTGGGATAAAATCTATTAGGTCTTAAAAAAACCGTGGAAAAAATTATCAATTGTTTGCTTATAAACTTCTAAGTTTTCTCAGCTTAGAAGTGAGTTTAAAAAAGATAAAAATGCTTGTTCAGCGTGTGGGAAAAAATATATTTTTATATTAGTATTTCTGTGTTGTTATATTCAATTCAACTAACGCTTATGTATAGAAAGCTTTGTATTTCTACACTTATACAACACTTAAACTGTAGTAAACAAACATACAGTGATATATAGATGGATAGATAGATAGATTACTGATTGTATTGGTATAAACATCTATTCTATACATAAGTGGGTTTGATACAAAGAATACAGTATGTCCAGAAACACTATAAAAATTTCGCAGATTTTTCTGATTTTATTGGCGGATTTTTTTCAAATTTTCTCCGAACATATATTCCTGATATTTTATAATCTTTGTCTCAGAGCTGAATGGTGGATATCGGGATTAAGGCTTAATCCACTCTTTTTTTTAATCTCGAGATTAAATATTGCTTGTTCTCCACACATTTTTAATCTCCAGATTAATTAACCGATCAGGATTAAGGATATCCCATTCAAAAGTTCCCATCTCTGGTTTAATAAATCAATATTGAACTCATTATTACAAAAGTTAATATACATCGATAAGAATACGACAAAACCAGTTTAAATTTTATAATGTTGATGGCTAAATAAAAGAATGTATAGTTTAAAAGATACATGGATAGATAAAAAGATAGAAAGTTAGATATGACTGAAGAATGTCCTAGTTGAGATAGAGATAGAGTTAGATAGGTAGATAAATGTGTTGATTAAAAACTAGATTAAAAAATGAATAGATAAGTGGTTGGATTAGATATAGATTACAATTTGGTTTCTCAACATTTCTATTCATAGTTTTTTTTTATGGTCACAATTCCTTCTTGTTATAATTAATAAAAGGTTTGAACTTGAGATTTTTAAAGATTTATTTCTCTGTTGAAAATATGTGTCATTGTTTTAGTTTAATGGACTATCCACGTATTTTCAAGTGACCCCTCATTTAAATAGTTAAATATCCTATTCACTCCCTTGAAATCTTGATGGAGAGAATCTTGTTTTTCTATCTGAAAATGGATGCTTTTCAAGTCAGAAAAACGACGATATCTTCTAATGGTTCTTCAGATAAAATTGAAGGAAAGTAAGAGGATTTATTAAGTACTTTCGTCCAGGATTATGTTGAAACTGTGAAACTTGGCACTGCTCCGGACGCGCCTGGTAATGAATTCAAGATGTGCTAAAATGGCGTTGTTTTACACAGGAACTGACGGGTCCTGGAGTCAGCTGATCGATGAGAATTCTTCAACTTGGAATTATTCTTGTTTGTCAACCTACAGGGGAGAAGGAAGGGGTTAGATCCCCCTCCCCCCCCCCAGAAGACCACATGGGATGCTGTTAGGGTTAAATGAACGCGTATGTAAGTTGTAAGAGGTCATACAGGGTGTCCCACGAAACATGACAATAGCAAGACGACTTGAAAGTCGTCCTTGATATTTGAATTTATTTGAGACGTTTAGTCTTCTATCTACTTTAACATGTATTATTCTTGAAACAATTATCAAATAATTCTCCTAGCCCTGGAATTTCCAAAAAGTGGTCTCCGTTTTTTGTGCTTTCAATATTACCAGAGATATAAGGAGTTTGGTTCAGATTTCAATTTTGTTAAATAACAGCAAAATTGTCGAAATCTGAACGAAATTCTTCATATCTCGGGCAATATTGAAAGCACAAAAAAGGCAGACCACATTTTGGAAATGGCAGGACTAGGGAAATTTTGTGATTATTATCTCTAGAAATTTACTTCTAAAATTAGGTTGACAAATAAACGCAGCAAATTATATCAAAAATCAAGACGACATTCAAGTCGTCTAGCATACTGTCATGTTTCGTGGGACACCCTGTATGTAAAAAACACGAACTAAAAGTCACGTGCCAGCAAAATAAAACTTTCCAACCTATTTGACTCAGTGGTGTTTAAATGTTTTCAATAGTGACAAATATAGTGACAACATTTTTTTGAGCTTTTATTCAAATTAGTTTTATATAGATATTTAAGATAATAATGGAAAGGGGATAAAAAAATAAATTAAATTAAGAAAGATCAAATATAAAGTAAAAAAGAAAAAAATAAGTCTAAGAAACGATTGGAAATAGTAAAAGGGGATGGGGAATGAAAGGAGAATAAGAGGAAATTAACCCCCCCCCCCCCTATATATACTATCTACCTCCTGGAGAGTAAACCAAGAGGAAGGATTCATCTAATGTAAATTAGTTTGTGCAGAATAATTATTGGACAAATAATTATCTTTAATTATCTTCAGTCCTGGTCGGGGAAATATTATTCCAGGGCAAAATTATCATTTAAATGAATGAATTAAATTTTAGAGAATTCAGGAACCCCTGGGTCATTCAGAGCAGGGATGTTGTTTGGTAAAAGTCAATGGGAAGAATTCTATTCCTTTTGTTGATTAGGTTTATTTTGAAAAGAATTTGAAAAATTTGTAAATATTCAAAACATGTTTTAACCCTCTTCTTCTATCTTCAGCTAATATCTCTTTCAATACAAATAGTCTATCTACCTAGTACCTACCTACCTATCTACCTACCTACCTACCTACCTACCTACCTACCTACCTACCTACCTATCTACCTGCATACCTACCTACCTATCTACCTATCTACCTACCTACCTACCTACCTATCTACCTACCTACCTACCTACCTACTTATATACCTACACCTACCTACCTACATTCATGCCTACCTACCTACCTACCTACCTACCTACCTATCTACCTATCTACTTACATACCTACCTACCTACCTACCTATCTATCTACCTACCTACCTACCTACCTACTTACATACCTACCTATCTATCTACCTACCTACCTACCTACCTACCATATCTACCTACCTACCTACTTACATACCTACCTATCTACCTACCTACCTACATACCTATCAACCTATCTACCTACCTACCTACTTAGATACCTACTAATTTACCTACCTATCTACCTACGTACCTAACTACCTACCTACCTCTACCTACCTACCTACCTTTTTATTTCTACCTACCTACCTATCCTATAAACCTACTCGAACTCCTCTATATCTGTCTGTAAGATCCGCTGTGTGTCTTTGGAACCGCAGAACTAATGAGCCGAACCGCATACAGATCAGCTCGTATCGATCCCAACCCTATACCCTGCATTAGAAAGGGTAAAAAGGGACCAAAATATATTACTACTTGGCCAATAATATAATCATTTTATTTATACATAATAAAGATTATCCTCTATGATTTTAAACAATAAATTAAATAATCCATAATAGATACCCTTTGAAAAAAAATTTCCCTTCTCCTTACAATCAATAAATCTGAGTATATGATACATATAAGCACTCAGAAAAATTAAGAAATCAGAATATGTCTATAAGAATGAATAAATCAAGGCATGTCATGGAAAAAAAGATAAGGAAGGTAAACTTACAGCGGGTCAGAGAAAAAATAAGAAAAAAATCCTATATACAAGCAGGTCACGTAGAGGAAAAATAAGAAGAAAGCCTATATACAAGCGTGTCACGTAGAGAAAAAATAAGAAGAAAGCCTATATACAAGCGTGTCGCGTAGAGAAAAAATAAGAATTGAATTGTAGAATGTCAAAAAATTATAAGGAAAGGTTGAATCAGAGCGTGTCAGGTTGAAACAAGAAAAAAGGTTGAATCGGAGCATGAAAAGAAGAATGTCAGAGAATGTCGTGGAGAAATGATAATGTAAGAGCATGTCAGGGAGAAAGGAAAATATCAGAGAATTTCGGGGAGAAAGGAAAATATCAGAGAATTTCGGGGAGAAAGGAAAATATCAGAGAATGTTGTGAAGAAAAAATAATGTCAGAGAATGTCGCGTAAAGAGAAAGTAGAATGTCAGAGAATGTCGGGAGACAGGAAAATATCAAAGAATGTTGTGAAGAAAATTGAATGTCAGAGAATGTCGGGGAGACAGGAAAGNAGGAGGAGAAGGAGGAGAAGGAGGAGAAGGAGGAGAAGGAGAAGAAGGAGAAGAAGGAGGAGAAGGAGGAGAAAGAGGAGAAGGAGGAGAAGGAGAAGAAGGAGAAGAAGGAGGAGAAGGAGGAGAAGGAAGAGAAGGAGGAGAAGAAGGAGAAGGGAAAAAAGTGGGAAAAGGAAGAAAAGAAAGGTTAGGAAATGAAATAAAGTACAAAGTACGAGAAGCAGAATGAAAGGAATGGAATATAAAGAAAGATCCAGAAACTATCTTAACAAAAGATGTTTGTATGAATATTGAAAAGGCATCAATACCACCTAGCCCCCCCATCCCCATAAACTAGTATACGATTGACCTCTGTAACTGAAACGAAAACATAACATTTTATGCCAAACACAAACAACAAAACATACAAATATTACAAACATACAATTTAAATAAATTCAGTTGTTGTTCTGCTTTTGATTGACAGGTTTGCAGGGGTGTTTATTAACATAAACAGGGGTGTTTAGAACACAATCATGGGTAACAGGGGTGTGTATTAACATAAACAGGGGTGCTTATTAGCACAATAAGAGGTGTTTATTTTCATAAACAGGGGTGTTTAGAACACAATCAGGGTTGTTTACTGTTTATTAAGATAAACACTGGTGTTTATTAACAGATACAGGGGTGTTCATTTTCATAAACAGGGACGTTTAAAACATAAACAGGAGTGTTTATTTTCATTAACAGGGGTGTTTATTTTCGTAAACAGGGGTGTTTATTTTCGTAAACAGGGGTGTTTATTAACATAAACAGGGGTGTTTATTAACATAAACAGGGGTGTTTATTTTCATAAACAGGGGTGTTTATTAACGTTTACAGGGGTGTTTATTAACATACACAGGGGCCGGGTGAATATGAACGTAAATAGGGAGGGGGGTTAGTATATAGTGACTAGGATGGTTTAATAAACT